ATATTGAAATTTTATTCAAACGAAATTAAGGAAAATAAATCCAACGCGAATACAAATAAACTGAAATACAAATATAGTTTCATAAGTCAAGCAGACTGTCAATTTTTTCCTCTGTTTTAAGTTTTTGGCCTCTGACACTTAGTTCTTGGTCAATTTCTACCTTACAAGTAGTTTGAACACGATCAACGTGCGACGTTGCCGTATCTGTTAAAAACCTTTTAAAGGATTACTCTAAAAAAATATATTTTAGCGGTCCTGTATAATATTTCTTTAAAGCATGTCAATGTTATCTAAAAATTTAGGAGGACCGTTAAAAGTTAAATTTTAGAGGCCTCTTAAATTTAACGGAAATGTTACAGAATACACTCCAATGTGTGTTAGTGTAACTAGATTGCAAGGTAAGTTTAAGATATTTTTTTAAATTAAATAATTGTGACCTCATGCAAGCATTTTGAATCCCAAATAATTTTTATTTAGCGTTCAAACGTACAAACGTTTTTTTGTGTTTTTCGTAATCATTCTGTGAGATTTTAAAATTTTCTCTTAAATATTTTAAGATTTTTTATTTTAAATACAACTACATGTTTTTTGCTCTACTGTTTATAACATTCCGGGATTTGATAAAAATTCAGCATCTGTAGTTGCAGTAAATAACTGTCTACAAAAAAAGACGCCAGCATTTTGAAGTAGTTTTTTTTTCATCATCATCAGTGGTGCTACAGCTCTAGTTGAGCCTTGACCTTCCCCAGTCTATTTCGCCAGTCGTTACTGTTCATCGCCAACCGTTGCCAATTTGCCGCGCCGATTTTCCTTGCGTCCTCGTCCACACCGTCCCTCCATCTCAGTCGTGGTCTGCCTCTACTCCTATTTCCCACTGGGACCGATAATAGAGTTCGTCTGGGTGGGTAATTTTCATTTGCTCTTGACACATGTCCAGCCCATCTAAGCCTGCCTATTTTTATGAAGGATATTACATCTCTACCATTTACTATTTTTTTATATTTCTCGTACAATTCGAAATTATATCGCCTTCTCCAAATACCATTCTCACAGAATGCACCCATTATTCTTCTTAGTATCTTCCTTTCGAAGACGAGCAGAAGATTTGCGTCTGTTTTGGAGATGGTCCATGTTTCTGACCCATATGTCAGCACTGGTAGGATGAGTGTTCGATATATTATTAGTTTGGTTTTCTGGCTTAAGTTTCTGTTTTTTAGCTGCTTGCTTAGTCCAAAATAACATTTGTTTGCTAGCAGTACCCTCCGTTTAACTTCTTCAGATGTGTCATTATCGTTTGTTATGAGAGAACCCAAATATGTAAACTTATTTACTACCTCAAAATTATATTGGTCTATACTGAAGTTTTGTTCGGCGTTTCTAGCTCTATCTCTGTTATTTGGAATAGATGCTAGCATTTTGGTTTTTTCCTCGTTTATTTTAAGGCCCATGTTTTGTGCGGCTGTCAAGAAGGTGGAAGTCATCTCTTTAAGTCCTCGTGTAGTACATGCAATCAAATCCAAATCGTCAGCGTACGCCATAATCTGCGTTGATTTATTAAAGATTGTTCCCCTATTGTGTATTGTGTAGTTTTTTTTTTAATTATGTTTTTTGTGTTTTTCGTAATTATTCTGTGTTAAATCTTTTAAGATTTTTCCTTTTGTGAATACAACTAGATGTTGTCTGCTCTGCGTGTATAACCTTCCGGGAATTGATAAAAATTTTGCATCTGTAGTTGCAATAAATAACTGTCTACAAAAAGACGCTAGCATTTTGAATGCCAAGTAGTCTTTTTTACTTTTTATATTTTTTGCGTTTTTCGTATTCTATATAAAAATCAATTTAGCATCTGTAGTTGTATTAAATAATTGCCAATTATTCTTGTTTTCCTGTTTATTTTCATCTTATTCATGTCGTAAATCTTTTCGGTGTTTTTCTTTTGATTTTGCAACTTTTCTGCTCTGCTAGTATATTATTCCTTCATTTAAGATGGTTTTACTTAAAATTAACACTGTATCTCTAGTTGCAGCGCGAAAACCAGATAAAAAACTCAAAGACTTGCCGCTAAACATTCCGCAGCCGATTAAGGAAGCTAGGATTGTGAAGACCAAATTTGGGCAATCTGTCTTATTTGACTTAGGTGAAGAGCCTATGTCCAGTTTCAAAATCGTCTAGAGTGTAAAAAAAAAAAAAAAAAAGAGAGAGAGGAGAGAGAGAGAGAGAGAGAGAGAGAGAGACAGATAGAGAGAGAGAGAGGTAAAGAGGGAGAAAGAGAGAGGTAAGCAAGCATTATGGATATTGTTAAACATTGTGAACATTTATTGTTATTCATCAAAAGAGTCAGAAACATAGTTTTTGAAAAATTAACGGCAAAGAAGTTTGGTTGAAACGCGTAACGAAACAAATTAAAACTTGCAATAAAGTAATAAAAAACGCAATTTGAATTTGCAGAAAACTGCAAACTGTCAGACATTTTAAACAGCGTATTTTAAATAGACATGTAGGTATGGAGCTAGACAGCAAACTAAAAACAAGGTTTAAATGGGAAATGTTGTTTCCGCGTTTAAAAGTCGAATTAAAAGTACCACTACTGCCACATTACGAACTTGTCTAGATTAATTTCTAGACAAGTAAATAACAGAAAGACCAAATTATTTCTTTGTAATAGATGCTTAAATTATTTTTCAACTGAAAGGAAATTGTCTGAACATTAAAAAATGTGTGCAGATATTAATAATTGTAAAATGTCTTTTTCTAAATATGAAGCTGTTACATTTCATTTACACGATGCAGTTACTAACAGAAAATTTCGATTTATTAATTCATTAAGATTTTTAGGGACCTCCTTAGATGAGTTAGCATCAACATTAGATAAAAATGGCTTTAAAATTTGCAAACAAGAATTTGGCAATTTACGTGACGAAAAATTTAAATTAATAAAAAAGGGGTATTTTGTTATAATTTTATTGATTGTTGGCAAAAATTAAACATGACCGATTTACCTCCGATAAAGGCATTTTATAATAAATTAAAACGATAAGGGTCTTGCAGATGAACAGTATGCTCTTGCTAAAACACTGATATTTTGCTGTTGACAGATGTTTTTAAAAATTTTCGAAAAAAATGCTCAATAGCTTATGGTTTATATCCAGCGTGGTACTACACAATGCCAGGTTATTCTTGGGATTGTATGTTGAAATACGTAAGGTGTAAACTAGAGTTATTGGGGGGAATGAAAGGGGTCCAAACACCTTCTGAAGACTCCGGGTGCTCTTTCGAGGGCTTCGGAGTCGTCAACGAAAGCACCTCTACCCAAGTCTATTTCCAGTGTATAGACTTGTAAAAAGTTTCAGCTGATGAGCTCGTCTTGAAAAAAACGAGCTCATTTCTTACATGGCACAAAAATCCTTACGAGGTTAAGTTGTCGAAATAGACATCAGGTTCCATTGGTTCGATGGCTTGCCTTAACAAAGGCAAGATATTTCTTACATGACTAAATTGTAGTCGAAATAAAACACCAAATACTGTTGAATAAAATCTCAGCCACAGAGTATAGGGTAGGCTAAAAGAAAAAGCAGAGCCCCGAGGGCACTAAGCTCTCGGAGAGCCCGTGAGGGACTGACCTGGTTGACCTGAAAATCGCCTATTTTTATACACGCTGAAGTAGCGATCAATAGGGATTTCCAGGTCAGGGACCAATAGGAAAAATGAGGGGCGGGGCGATGCGGCTCGAGTGCGTACTAGTCGTGCTCGAGGACACTACAAAGCCCTCAATGTACTTAATGTATTTTGACGTCAATAATTTATATGGGTGGGCAATGGGAGACCTTTGCCCTACGAAGGGTTCGAATGGAAGAATAACAAAAACTTTGATGTTATGTCTGTACCAGATGACTCTCCCGTAGGGTACATGTTACAAGTTGACTTGGATTATCCTCACAAATTACATGATCAGCACTCAGATTTTCAATTCGCTGCTGAACACCGTTAAGCTGCGGGTTCAGATCATTCGAAACTAATGACAACACTTTATAATAAAAAAGAATATATCGTTCATTATAGAAATTTAAAACAAATGTTGGCTAAGGGATTAGTTTTAAAAAAGATTTAAATTTTAAAATTTGAACAGTCTGCCTGGCTGCGGCCCTACATCAAATTAAATACTGGACTAAGTGTCGGTTTCACCAACAACAAATAAATCACTGAATAGTTAATCGTCGAATAAAATTTATTAGTAGAATAAATTTTATTCTGTTTCAATAACTATTTGTAATACACAGTTAGTGATTCGTCGAATAAGTTCAAAGTGTAATGATTTTCCATAGACTGTACTCGTTGACACAAGCGCCATGCGGTTCTTCTACTTCGTAATAGTAGTTTCTTGGACTCCACCTCTTAGGTGCTTGGCCAAGCACATCGCACTATTTTTTACTGTAATCATATACATAACCTATAATATTTGATATTGGTTGATTAATTTATCAAAATAATAATAATTGTCAATGCCAATGGTCAATGTCAATATATAATTTACATAAAAAAAATTTGTTTGTCGTGGTTGTGAACCTGAAAATTGTAAAAATGGACAAAAAACACGAGACGAGCAAAAATTATTAAGAGGAAGAAAAGGAGAAGTTAATCTCAATAATTGAAAAATATAAACACATTATAGAAAATAAGAAAACGGACAGTGTTTGGGCCAAACAAAAGAATGTCACATGGGAAAATATCGACCGAGTACAACAGTATAGCAAAACTGGGATTCGGAATGGGATACAGTTGAAACTGTTGTACGAGGCACTCAAAAAAAGAGTTAAAAAACTCAAATCTGATGATAAGTTAGGTAGAATAAAATTGTAGATATGTTTAAAATGAATTTTAAATAATATTTTTTATAATGAAATTTTTAAACCTTGCAATTTTTACAGGTTCAGACATAGGTTCCAGGAGGTGGTATAAAGGTACCAGTGATGCCATCTCAACATGACAGGATTGCTGCTATCATGAGACCCCAAATAATCCCTATAGAGACGATGTATGATAGCAATAATATGCATATGCCTGAGGATGTTTATCAAGGTAAAGTGTAATATTATTTAATATTAACATAAAATAGTCAAGGTTGCATATCATCTGACTACTTAAACACTATACATGCCACAATTATGTTCACATTGTGTCTGCAATTGGACGGGATTATGCAGAAACGATCCAACCCACATTTTGTTAAAACAGATATTAGCCAAAAACTTTATGATAAAATTTAAAATTCTCTATTCAAAATAATCATGATTTAACATTAGAATCGTTAACCCACATGGATCTGTTCTGCCGAACGCTGACATGCTGCAACGATAATGTTGCTTGGTTTTTCACTTATAGAGGACGGTATATTTATATCTTATGTGGCTTGGTTCTTTTTTGCACAAGTATCTACGAGGTATTTTACAACCTATGAGACTGTTAATAGAAAAAATACATATTTGTGGCTCAGTTCCTCTCTGCAGAATCCCGTCCAAGTACAAACAGTTTTTAATAACATAATTGCATTAATCCTTATTTTGCTTGTAGGTGATGCTGCTGTGGACGACATATCACTTCTATCACCTACTGCTATGGATATCCCCAGTACGTCCAGCAGTATTCTACCAAGAATCGTAATACAAGGTAATAATATAATTTTAAATACTATAATGATTACTTAACGATTATTACAAACATAAATATTGCTTGCAACAATCTTGGCATAAATATCAGTATCAAAAAATCCAAGTATATGGTATTTAATAAAAATATGACAACAAGCACATATTAGTATAAACAGCATTCGAATTGAAAAAGTATCAAGTTACAAATACTTCGGACCTTTAATAAACAAAACTGGAGACCAAAACAATGAAATAAAAAGATGTATCGAAATAACATTATAACAAGTGCTCGAAACAAATGAGAAGCATTTAATAGGCCTATTGGGAAATTTAATAAACACACATTTTAAATAATTTTATTATCTATTTTCAAACCATTTATATATTAATATTTCATATCGATGGTATAGTGCACAGAAGTGGTAAGTACATTTTTGGCCATTTCGGGGTTAAGTGCTCAGTAATTATTAGCTTAAGGTAAAGTATGTTGTGCACAAATGTGGTATGTGTATCAATATTATTTTCAGAGATTCAAACTGTCTTTATGTGGTAAGTGGTGATTTTGTTAACTGGCTTAAAATTAAATGGTTCCGCTTTGTAAAGGAGAAACCCTACTCGATTCTTTACAAATATACACTTTCAGACGAACAATTTCTGGAAATCAATATCAATCAGAAGAGGAATGTACAGGTAAAAATAATAAGTGTGTGAGATTAATCCGTCTGTTGATAAAAAATAACTTTTTTCTTCACAGGTAAAACAATGTGAGTCAGTAACATTACAACACGCTTATCCAAACAAGCGTCCTATAAGTCAGGCTAAAAAAAAAGGACTTACTTTCATTGCTCTACAGTGGAATAATACTTAATGATTATACATCGTTTTATGAATCTTTACCCTGTTCTACGACAGCATTACGAGATGATAATACAGATTCTGAATAAATTCAAAATTCAATAAAGTGGCCAATTCAATTTTTATTTTTTTCTACCTAAAGAGTATTGTGAATCTAGTTCAAAAATGAATAAAATTTTACAAAAACACTATTTACCGGTATTTTCTTTCTATCAACACTGTCAATCTTAATGCCAAAATGTGGTAAGTACCACTTAGTGAACGACTGACGTGGTATGTACATACTGCTTATTAAATATTTGGACATAGAAGAATATTGCTAATATTTTAAATGTGTTTATATTATTGTTTATGAACTTAAGTAACTATTCAATAATTAAAGAATATTGCGGCAGCTATAAACTTATTAACAAATTTCCTATACAACATCAAACTTTCAAATCGTTCTCCTGGAAAATTACTATTTTTGTATTTTTGTACTTACCACTTCTGTGCACTATACCATCGATATATATATATATATATATATATATATATATATATATATATATATATATATATATATATATATATATATAAATGCTTGTATTTGTGAATGCATGTTAAAAAAATATTTTTTATGCAATATAAGTATCTAATTATTTTTACAAATAATAAAAATTTACATTTTTTTACATTTACATTTTAAATTTACATTTTTTTACAGATACAAAAGATTCATCACAGCGAGGGGAATCAGTAACATTAAAAACGCCAAAAGGCAAGAGGAAATGTACTGAATCTGAGGAAATGGGGGACAAGAAGAAGGAAGTGTTGGACAAAAAATTAGAAATATTAGATATTGTAAGAAATTAGTGGAATTAGAATTAAAACAAGTAGAATTAGCAATAAAAAAAGCAGAAGCAGAATAAAAAAAACAGACATAAGAGAATTCGATAAATAAATACTTTATACCTTAGAAAATGTGTTTTATTTACAATATAATATTCTTTATACAGGCTACCAAATAATCAGGTATCAAATAAAATACCACACAATTATTTACAACAAATTTACTAAAACTTAAAAACATATACATATTATTATAAATGAGGAGCGATCAATCAAAACGCAATAAATCCAGTTTTTTCACAATTTGAGTAAAATTAATATTCAATAGCTTTGCCGTGAAATATATCCAGTGGTCACAGGCAATTCCTTTTAAACGCATGCAGCAGAATCTCAAATATACTATAAGAGGAAATTAACTGCCTATAACTTCACACTTTTCGAAAACCACAGTAAAGATGGATATTGCTTCGTTTGGGATGAGATCAACGGAAAAAAAGGAAGCAACGAAATTGGAACGTGTCTTTTAAAATATCTGTCAATGCTACCAGAGACAGTTACTCACTTTTAATCTTTCTCCGATACCTGTGGAGGGCAAAACAGAAACAAACACGTCTCCGCAGCCATGTTGTATGCAGTGAATCACTTTAACCAAGTAGAGACAATAGATTTCAAATATATGGAATCAGGACATTCCTACTTAGAAGCAGATGCTATACACGCAACTATTGAAAGAGCGCGGAAACACGATAAAATTTATACAACTAGAGAATGGGCGTTACTTATATCTGCTGCAAGAATAAACCCTAGACCGTATATTGTTCAAACATTGACATATGAGGACATTTATGACCTACACTTTCTATCAAAGGAAACGCTACACAATACTACCAAAAATACTGCAGGTGATTCCGTTAACTGGCTTAAAATTAAATGGTTCCGCTTTGTAAAGGAGAAACCCTACTCGATTCTTTACAAATATACACTTTCAGACGAACAATTTCTGGAAATCAATATCAATCAGAAGAGGAATGCACAGGTAAAAATAATAATTGTGTGAGATTAATCCGTCTGTTGATAAAAAATAACTTTTTTATTCACAGGTAAAACAATGTGAGTCAGTAACATTACAACACGCTTATCCAAACAAGCGTCCTATAAGTCAGGCTAAAAAAAAGGACTTACTTTCATTGCTCAACAGTGGAATAATACTTAATGATTATACATCGTTTTATGAATCTTTACCCTGTTCTACGACAGCATTACGAGATGATAATACAGATTCTGAATAAATTCAAAATTCAATAAAGTGGCCAATTCAATTTTTATTTTTTTCTACCTAAAGAGTATTGTGAATCTAGTTCAAAAATGAATAAAATTTTACAAAAACACTATTTACCGGTATTTTCTCCATATCAACACTGTCAATCTTAATGCCAAAATGTGGTAAGTACCACTTAGTGAACGACTGACGTGGTATGTACATACTGCTTATTAAATATTTGGACATAGAAGAATATTGCTAATATTTTAAATGTGTTTATATTATTGTTTATGAACTTAAGTAACTATTGAATAATTAAAGAATATTGCGGCAGCTATAAACTTATTAACAAATTTCCTATACAACATCAAACTTTCAAATAGTTCTCCTGGAAAATTACTATTTTTGTATTTTTGTACTTACCACTTCTGTGCACTATACCATCGATATATATATATATATTATATATATATATATATATATATTATATATATATATTATATATATATATATACTTGTGCTTGTATTTGTGAATGCATGTTAAAAAAATATTTTTTAAGCAATATAAGTATCTAATTATTTTTACAAATAATAAAAATTAATTTACATTTTTTTACAGATGCAAAAGATTAATCACAGCGAGGTGAATCAGTAACATTAAAAACGCCAAAAGGCAAGAGGAAATGTACTGAATATGAGGAAATGGGGGACAAGAAGAAGGAAGTGTTGGACAAAAAATTAGAAATATTAGATATTGTAAGAAATTAGTGGAATTAGAATTAAAACAAGTAGAATTAGCAATAAAAAAAGCAGAAGCAGAATAAAAAAAAACAGACATAAAAGAATTCGATAAATAAATACTTTATACCTTAGAAAATGTGTTTTATTTACAATATAATATTCTTTATACAGGCTACCAAATAATCAGGTATCAAATAAAATACCACACAATTATTTACAACAAATTTACTAAAACTTAAAAACATATACATATTATTATAAATGAGGAGCGATCAATCAAAACGCAATAAATCCAGTTTTTTCAGAATTTGAGTAAAATTAATATTCAATAGCTTTGCCGTGAAATATATCCAGTGGTCACAGCCAATTCCTTTCAAACGCAATATTTCCAATAGAAAATAGCTATCGAAAGTGGGCAAATCAATCAAAACGCAATAAATCCATTTGTGTTTCTAGCGCCAATCAAAGTGCCATAAATCCATCATAGGTACCTGTTTTTGAAGAATGTAATATATATTATTCTGGTATTTGCCTACTAGATGGGGCAATTAGTCCCTAATACCATTGTTTAAAAAACTAATACTTTATTAAGTAATAACTTTTGGCGAAATTATCTCTATAATCTAACCTAAAAATAATTTAATATAACACGTTGTTTTGATTTGTGGTGAATATTATTTTTGTAATTTCATTTTGTCTGTAAAATGGGCGATTCTGAGGAGTTAAATCTGACTGTTAAAGAAAAAGGTGTTAGGAGAAGGAGTGACAATGTTTCTAAACATGTACAATTTCTTTTCGTTTTTAGATATGGTGATTCAGATGTAGCTTTGACAAATTTCAAAAGACCATGTAATTATGACGGCCGTAGTTACCAGTGTAATAATATTACACTGGGTGATATTAAAAGAAATAAGGAAAATATTTACAGCTCAACTAATTGAAATGAACAAGATATAAAATTGTGTCATATCATGAGTGCCTCTGAAGTAAACAGACGAAGAAAATCCATTCCTTTAAAATCTCGTAAGTTAGCAGTAACATACTACTTAAAAACAAGGAATTCTAAACATCCATTAAGAGTTTGTCAAAAATTTTATACCTCAGCTATGGGTATGTCAGCACGGCGCGTAACCAGAGTTGCAAATACCATTCATGCAGGGGAAGTACCAAAAGACAAGAGAGGAGGAGATCAAAGGTCCAAAAAAACAATAACTTATAAGAATTGCGTTAGAGAGCTTATCGGCAATTTGAGAGGACGAGAAAGCCATTACAATAGATCAAAGTCTCAAAAATTTTATTTAGACAGCGATTTAAGTATTGCAAAGTTACATAAGCTATATAACACAAAGTTCGAGACAAAACAAGTTTCACTGTCAATGTTTTCAAGAATCTTCAGAAAGGATTTTAATTTAGGCTTTTCCTCACCTGCTTCAGATGTATGTGCCAAATGTATGAGAATCGCGAACCAAATTAAAATAGAAAAAAATGCAGAAAAAAAAGAGAGAATTAATGGTACAAAAGCGCATTCACAACAAAAGAGCTAAAGCAAGTTATGTAAAGATCGCATAGAATTTTTACTAAGTTTTTGTTTTGACTTGCAGCAGGTCCGGCCATTGCCTAAGACACCCATATCTGACGCATTTTATGCACACCAAGTAAGTTTTTATGTTTTCTGCTGTGTTGATATGGGATCAAAACGTCCCCATTTTTATACGTGGAGCGAGGATCAAGCTGGACAGGGTTCTGTGCAAGTAGGATCTGCTCTTCTGCATCATTTGACTCACTCAATCTAGATGGAATAAAGATCCTGTGACTTTTTTGTGACGGATGCGGAGGACAGAATAAGAACTCACACATAATCCATGCATTATATTATTGGCTTAAAGTCAAGGGACCTCCAGAATTAGAAGAAATTAGAATAACTTTTCCCGTACCTGGTCACAGTTTTTTGCCCGCAGATAGGGTGTTTGGCAGGATTGAGAAATGCCTAAGAAAACAATCTGTTGTAAAAACAAAAGAGGAATACATAAGCATTTATCAACAGTTTATTTTAGTGAAGAATCTTGGAACAGACTGGTTTCTTTATGACATTAAGTCTCTTCAAAACAACTTACAAAAAATTGTTGGAATACTCGAATTAAAAAGAATTCATTTAAAAAAACTACAAGACAATACTATGAAAGTTTGGTGTTTCCAAAACTTTCGATATGAAAATTTTCTAGAAGTTGGAAAAACATTGATAAAGGCGCGAAAATCTGATCAATGTATGGAACTGGACAGTATTCCGTTGAATAACGCCCTTATGGAAAAGAAGAAAAAATCTCTGAAACTTCTCTTAGAACAGCACTTTGGCGATGACTGGATGAACGATGAGTCTTTAGATTGGTATAAGAAACTATTAGCAACAGAAGGCTGCAATAATGAAGAACAACATCAAAACCCATGTGACTGCCTGGAAGACGACCGTACATATCTAATGTGAAATATTTTTTATTTTTGTAACTTTTTTAAAATATCATTATAATATAATGATATTTTAGCAATATGAGACAATATTATTGTCTCATATTGCTAAGTTTATTATTATTTAATGCTATTTGTAATATATTTTATTTGTATTATATTTTAATGCTATTTGTAACTTTTTTAAAATATCATTATAATATAACGATATTTTAGCAATATGAGACAATATAATTGTGTCATATTGCTAAGTTTATTATTATTTTATGCTCTCTGGGACCTGCAGCACACATATGTTTTTGAAATCATTCGTATCGGTATAAATCCACTAATTTTTTTTCACATATCATGAAACATATTGTGCGTTCAATATTCCTATTTATATATAATAATATGCTACCCTTCTTCTTTAAAATGTCATCTGATTTAAATTTTTTAACTCAACGGCGAGTAAGAGGTAACATTTAAGCATTTAAGTAAGCATTTAACTCTGAATCAGTTTTAGTGGATTTATTGAGTTTTGATTGATCGCTCCTCAAATATCGTCAACACATTAACAGAACATCTAACATTTATTTATTTATTAAGGGGAGGATCCTTTTTGCAATTTAATTTTAAATATAAATATAAACATCCTAAACTAACTATAAAATACCACACAATTATTTACAACAAATTTAACCAATTCCCAACCACACAAACTAAACAAAAACTACCAACACAAAACTAACACCAACCATACTTTAAATCAACCCCTTATTAACCCCAAAAATCCTAAGATATATAAAACCTCACCCAAACACCAACCACACCACCCACATTTACCCCCCCCCACCCCCCCACACCCATCCTCCCCAACACACCCACAACACACCTATCACCCCATACCCCCATCCAACCCCCCCCCCCCCCCACCACTCCCTACCCCCCCCCCCACATCTCCCCCCTCTTTAACACTATATATTACCCCCTAACAACAAACCCCCCAAATCCACAATCACCACATCCCCCTCCAAACCACACTCCCCTAATATCACTCCACCACCCCTTAATCACCACAACCCTCCCCTCCTCCCCCCACCCTCATCCCCCCCTAAACTACAACCCCTCACCTCCTCCAAACACCCCCCCCCCTCCTACCTAAACAAACCCAATCTCACTCAACCCCCCACTCCCCCCCCCCCATACTAATATTCCCCCCCCCCCCCCCCCCCCCCCCCCCCCCCCCCCCCCCCCCCCCCCCCATCTCCAAAAATCCTTACCCACATCTCAACCTAAAACACCCTACCCACCTCCCTCATCCCCCCCCCACATACTCTCCTTCCCTTACCCAAACCCTTCCCCTTCCCTAAAAAAACCTCACCCACCCCTAATAACCACTTCCCAAAAACATTCATCCACTAATCCAACACCAACTACCTATACCACTATTAACATGCCCAAAATACCACCCACACATCATCAAACAATCATAGCACTCCTATAAACACCACCCGTTTATCCCATTGTGTCCCCACTGAATACTACCCCCTATGCTGTCCATGACCCCCCGTTAAACGTCCCCCCAGTACCCCCCCCCCCCAACCCCATCCCAATCAGTAGCCCCCGTGATCTGCCAACCTCATACTCCCCCTCCCCCCCCCCCTAACTCAATCCCCCCCAACCAGGCCTCTGACACCTATCAATTTATTGCCCCCCCCCGACCCGCGGCCCCCCTGCCCCTTCTACCCCCAACCCCCCCCCCCCCCCCAACCCAAAATGCGCTCTCTGCTCTCTCCTTTGTGCTTATGTTATGAATAGAGTTATGTATGGGGTAAACTTGTT